AAGAAGCTACACGATCATTGGAAAAGCAACTCATTTCCAACACGATTTTGAATAATACTATAAAAATGTGAAAAATACTTATTTCGTAGTGATAGACGCGGAGAATCCATAAGTGAACGAGAATCTTATTCTTAAGATTCTGCATGCGATCAAGATCAAACAAATGTCATACCACGAACTTATTTATATTCTCGACATCATATAACATTGAAACAATATCCAGCAACACAGTACTTCGGCGGCAGCATTTAAATGCAATTAATAATTGTGAGGAACGTTTGTCGATATACTAATTCATATGGTCGGCAGGAGGACACGAATTGGGAGAATTTGTTCAAGATTTTAAATTGCTTACGACATGTAAAAAGCGATAATAGATCTCTTCATAGATATTAATAAAATCTTAACCAAACATCTTAAGATTTTATTTCTCTAGTATTGTGAATTTCTATGCCAAAACACTAAAAAAACAATAAAATAAAATTGTTCTTTCAACTGCGTGCTGGTGGCGTTGGGACCGTAATGCAGTTACTCAAAGCGACGGGCAATGGAACCCGAGATATAGGAAACCCTACTGGCAGGCAGTTTTTAGTTATGTGATCGACAGCTTGACAGCACGAAGTACTAAGGGGAAGTCCGAACGCTAATTTCAAAATATCCACCACGCAATCTTCGAAACCTTTTAGAGNCAGTTTTTAGTGATGTGATCGACAGCTTGACAGCACGAAGTACTAAGGGGAAGTCCGAACGCTAATTTCAAAATATCCACGACGCAATCTTCGAAACCTTTTAGAGCTTCCAAGCACGGCAAAAACTCATCAACCAGCGCTGGCTGTGAAACTTCATAGGCGACATGCGAGGCTTTCGAAATTGATTCCGCCATGGACGACGTCGCGATGCATGCCAACATTAACAATGCAAAAGCTCTTTTCACCGCTGACGATTGATACGCCATAGTATTAATATATTTGTGAACTTTTTGAAAGGTCTACTAGAAGAATTATGGTGAAGTGGATTTGTGGGGATATACTACTAAACTTTGGATATTTATATTTGAGAGCATATTAATTAATTAAACGAGTTATTTGTTTAACGTAAAGTGCGGTTCACATTTCCTCTATTTCGCTATTATATGCTACTACGATAAGATCATTTATTGGCAGAATTTAGATAGAGATGAGAAATAATTAATGCAAATGTTACATAATTCATTTTTTATAGGCGGAAAATTTATTGTGAACAGTCGTTACGAACTATTATGAATGGAATTGTAACTGAGTCGTAGATATATATCCTTTAAAAAACTAAGGTATATTTCGTAGTTGGTTAGAGTGGATTGAAATTATATAGTAAACGATATAAACCTTCCTCGAAGTTTATGATAATTTCAAAGGCATTCCCTCTTTCCAAAAATTATAGAAAGTCCCCATGAGATTCATGTTTCATGACAAATATCTCCCTATCAGCAAAAAATAAATATATATTCCCCATTTTACCCCTTGAAGTTCAATGACTAACGGGGAAAGTTTTGAAATTCAATGACCTCCTGGAAACCTTATGCAAAGTAATTATCCCTTCTTTCTTATTATTTCTTAGGATATGTTTTTATACTTTTGGTTCAAATGATATTATTTTAAATAAAAAATACAACTGTATATTTTTTATAAAATTTTTAAAATTGTAATACATATTTTTTTTTGACAAATGCAATTGACTTTATACTTTTATAAGTAATAGATTCTTTTTTTTCAAATTAAATTATTCATCAAGCACAGTACATAGAGATACTTTTAATCCACGTCTCGCCCCTCCAACAACTGCCTCTC